ACGGCGCGCATAACAGAGATAAAACACCTCAGTTACTGGGAGCGCTTGAGGCTCCTGAACCTGTATTCCCTGGAACACAGGCGGGAGAGATACATGATTACATACACTTGGAAAATCCTAGAGGGACTAGTACCGAACTTGCACACGAAAATCACTCACTACGAAAGCAAAAGACTTGGCAGACGATGCAACATCCCCCAATGAAAAGCAGGGGTGTCACTAGCACGTTAAGAGACCATACAATAAGTGTCAGGCCCGAGACTGTTCAACTACCTCCCAGCATACATAAGGGAGATTACCAACAGACCCCTGGCAGTCTTCAAGCTGGCACTGGACAAGCACCTAAAGTCGGTTCCTGATCAGCCGGGCTGTGGCTCGTACGTTGGTTTGTGTGCAGCCAGCAGTAACAGCCTGGTTGATCAGGCTCTGATCCACCAGGAGGCCTGGTCACGGACCGGGCCACGGGGGCGTTGACCCCCGGAATTCTCTCCAGGTAAACTCCAGAGGGCTGAGGAAGGGTTGTTGAGGTGGTTCGGACATGTAGAGAGAATGGAGCAAAACAGAATGACTTCAAGAGTGTATGAGTCTGTAATGGAAGGAAGGCGGGGTAGGGGTCGGTCTAGGAAAGGTTGGAGGGAGGGGGTAAAGGAGGTTTTGTGTGCGAGGGGCTTGGACTTCCAGCAGGCATGCGTGAGCGTGTTTGATAGGAGTGAATGGAGACAAATGGTTTTTAATACTTGACGTGCTGTTGGAGTGTGAACAAAGTAACATTTATGAAGGGATTCAGGGAAACCGGCAGGCCGGACTTGAGTCCTGGAGATGGGAAGTACAGTGCCTGCACTCTGAAGGAGGGGTGTTAATGTTGCAGTTTAAAAACTGTAGTGTAAAGCACCCTTCTGGCAAGACAGTGATGGAGTAAATGATGGTGAAAGTTTTTCTTTTTCGGGCCACCCTGCCTTGGTGGGAATTGGCCAGTGTGATAATAAAAAAATCTTCCCAGTACCTCTAACTCTCCATTTAATAACTCTCCTCTCCTATTTTTAACTGACAAATCCATTTGTTCTCTAGGCTTCCTTAACTTGTTAATCTCACTCCAAAACTTTTTCTTATTTTCAACAAAATTTGTTGATAACATCTCACCCACTCTCTCATTTGCTCTCTTTTTACATTCCTTCACCACTCTCTTAACCTCTCTCTTTTTCTCCATATACTCTTCCCTCCTTGCATCACTTCTACTTTGTAAATTATATTTTATAGTAGTTCTTGTAATTTCATAGCCAATCTTTGTTCTGACACTAATATTAGGTACTGAAATAGTGCTCTAATAGTCACAATCCCTTGACAGGTGAACATTTACACCTGCTTGGGTTATTTACTCTTGTCTAGAAATATATACAAAGTATTTATAGGTCCCAGCAGTGTTTTTAGATACTCTGGCATATACCTTGAAGCATGGTGTTATGAAGGCATCCCAATACTGTTGACAACCCAGTGACATTTGATAAATGCCCACTGCTCCAGCTAGCGCACTCTGTATTTATCACTGTTACATTACAAGCATGTCTTGTCTCTGTCTATTTATGTCTGTCTGCCTGTCTGTATCTTTGCCTGGAATTTTTGGGTTATCCTAGGTAATTTACGCTATGTATAATTGTACTTGTGTGTGCATGTGAGAGAGAGAGACAGAGATATAGACAGCCAAAGCCAGCTGACTAGCCGGCCAGCTGGCCAGCCTGCCGAATACTTAAGAAAGAAGGAACACTGCAGCAGGCCTACAGGCCCATGCAAGGCAGGTCCATGCCCCCCCCCCCGAGCTTAGACCAATGACCCACCTAGTCAGGTCACATCCACTGAAAGAAGGAGCACGACATCAGACGTAGTAGCACAAGCTAGTCAGGTCCATCTCACACCCACCCACACTCACTCGTGTATTTAGCTAACCCTTGCTGTATTTATCACTGTTCTACACAAACATGTCTGTCTATCTGCCTGTCTCTCTGCTTATCTGTCTTTCTGTCTGCCTGGAGTATAGTATATCAAACTCCTTGAAGAATGGTGTTATGACATCTGTTTACAGACTAGTGACATTTGATAAATGGGCACTCTGGGAACCCTGGCTTTGTTTTCACTGATAGACACAAACATGTCTGTCTGTCTATCTTTGCTTGGATTTTTTGGGTTATCCTATGTAATTTACACTATGTATAACTGCACTTACGTGTGCATGTGAGAGATATAGACAGATATATAGACATAGAAATAGACAGAAATATAGACAGAGACAGCCAAGCCAGCCTGCCAAATACATAAGAAGTGAAGGGAGTGTTAATGTGACATGACATCAGTGAATCCCTGGTGCTTGCTATGCTATTTGCTCTAGCTGGCACTCAATTGAACTGGTGCTCCCACAAGATACTAAGTGCTCCCAGATTTTTTTAATGCTGCACACACTGAGTGCACAGATCCATTCTTTCATGTCTAGGCAACTCAAGCCTATTGTGCTAAATTTGAAGAAATGAAAAATAAAACGTTGGTCTATGTTTGGAGTGCTACACGAGCAAACGTATATATATGTTTGGACAGTTTAAGGGTTAAAGTGCAGGCATTGTACTTCCCATTTCCAGTACTCAAGTCCGGCTATATAAAAATAACCAGTTTTCCTGAATCCCTTTACTAAATATTACCCTCCTCACACTCCAACAGCTCATCAGGTCCCAAAACCATTCGTCTCTATTCACTCCTATCTAACACGCTCAAGCACGCTTGCTGGAAGTCCAATCCCCTCGACCACAAAACCCCCTTTACCCCCTCCCTCCAACCTTTTTGAGGACGACCTCTACCCCGCCTTCCTTCCCCTAGAAATTTATACATTCTCCATGTCATTCTACTTTGATCCATTCTCTCTAAATGACCAAACCACCTCAACAACGCCTCTTCAGTCCTCTGACTTACAAATGTCCCAACTTACGAGTTTTTTGAGATAAGAGCCGTCTCTGGGTCGATTTTTTGCTCTGAGTTACGAGCCAGCTCTCCCCCTCCCTCTTCCCCCTCAACCCAAAACCTGGACACCTCACTTGTTTATCTATGATTTCGTGCTTTAATTCCATGGAAATCATTCTCTTTTTCTTCTCAGCACTGTCCTTTACACTTTCTTTCTTAGGACCCATGCTTAGAAAAACGAAATTTGGCCAAATGACTTAAAAATGTAAGCAAAGCAGGAGAGAACTGTTCCCACAGTGAGGTAAAGAGTGAACTGAATTGCCGGCATTCATTATTATAATAACAATAATAATCATATTTATATTAATGTTATTATTATTTAAGTAACTAAGTAAGTCAGGATATGGCTGGTGTGTTGAAAGAAAGAAGAATTATTATTATTATTCTTTCTTTCAACACACCGGCCATATTCCATCAAGGCGGGGTGGCCCGAAAGGAAAAACGAAAGTTTCTCCTTTTACATTTAGTAATATATACAGGAGAAGGGGTTACTAGCCCCTTGCTCCCAGCATTTTAGTCGCCTCTTACAACACGCATGGCTTACGGAGGAAGAATTCTGTTCCACTTCCCCATGGAGGTAAGAGGAAATGAACAAGAACTAGAAAGAAAATAGAAGAAAACCCAGAGGGGTGTGTATATATATGCTTTTACTTGTATGTGTAGTGTGACCTAAGTGTAAGTAGAAGTAGCAAGATGTACCTGAAATCTTGCATGTGTATGAGACAGAATAAAAGGACACCAGCAATCCTACCATCATGTAAAACAATTACAGGATTCCATTTTACACTTACTTGACAGGACGGTAGTACCTCCCTGGGTGGTTTCTGTCTACCAACCTACTACCTAGAATTATTATTATTATTAATTTAGGGAACTGGAGCACAGATACAATTCCCTAGATCAAGAGCCCCTCACCAGCGTCAGGGAACCTCCCTTGAGGGAAAAGCTCACTCACAACTCAGATTTTGGCTTGTAACTTGGAGCAAAAAATCGACTGAACAACAGCTTGTATCTCAAACAACTCTAAAGTTGGGGCACTCATCAGTCGAGGTTTAACTGTACTTTGGGAGACAGCTTTAGATGTGTTGGTTATTCTAGGGTATTTTCTTTAGTGGCTTCTGATTTTCTTTTTAATTGTCTCATCAGTCTCCTGTTCAAAAATCCCTACTTCATAACTTGACTTTTGGGGTTAAATTTTAATAACCATTTATTCAACCATTCATGTAGCCTTTTTTCTTCCTCTTTGGTTTGTATTCTCATTGTTTTGGTATCACCACTTGGTCATTTATGTACTGCAGAACAGTATGGGGCCCAACACTGAGCCTTGTGGAACTTTAATAGTTTTTCATAATAAAAAATTTACTCATTTGGCAGGATGGTAGTACCTCCCTGGGCAGTTGCTGTCTACCAACCTACTACAAATGAGTGTAAAACAAAAGCCTGTAATTGTTTTACATGATGGTAGGATTGCTGGTGTCCTTTTTTCTGTCTCGTAAACATGCAAGATTTCAGGTACGTCTTGCTACTTCTGCTTACATTTAGGTCACACTACACATGTACAAGCTTATATATACACACACCCCTCTGGGTTTTCTGCTATTTTCTTTCTAGTTCTTGTTCTTGTTTATTTCCTCTTATCTCCATGGGGAAGTGGAACAGAATTCTTCCTCCGTAAGCCATGCGTGTTGTTACAGGCGACTAAAATGCCGGGAGCAAGGGGCTAGTAACCCCTTCTCCTGTATAAATTACTAAATTTAAAAAGAGAAACTTTTGTTTTTCTTTTTGGGCCACCCTGCCTCGGTGGGATACGGCCGGTTTGTTGAAAGAAGAAGAATAAAAAATCTCATTTATAGTGAGCATTTGTTGGTGTGAGCACCTGCTATTATTCCAAGCAAAACAGTTACATATCTTGATGAATGGTCATTGTTGTTGAATGCATTATTGGCTTTTTGATCTTCGGCAGATTATTTAATTATTCTTTTTTTTTCTTTCTTTATTAGGATAGGTGAAAATCTACCCAGTGAAGTACACCTACAATCAGACATTCAAGGTTTTCATCAGTGGTTCATAGGTGGTGTTGAGAGATGGCAGAGGAAGTTGTTTGCCCGGGCAAGAGACTTGATTTCTAAGGAAGTTGAGAGGGACACATTTAAAATAGACTACCCTGGCATAAGTTCATATGCTTCCACAACCAGCTCTGATTTTACAATAAGTTCATCTGCTTCTGGGTGTAAATCTAATTTTACAATTGTAAGTTTTAAAGGTTAATTGTCATTTATTTGAGTTTGTTTTTGTAACTTCATTAATGATAGCTTTTTTTTTATGTTTTTATCTGCCTTTGCAGTAGTAGGTTGGTAGACACCAACCACCCAGGGAGGTACTACCAACCTGCCAAGTGAGTGTAAAATGAAAGCCTGTAATTGTTTTACATGATGGTAGGATTGTTGGTGCCTTTTTTCTGTCTCATAAACATGCAAGATTTCAGGTACATCTTGCTACTTCTACTTACACTTAGGTCACACTACACATACATGTACACGTTTATGTATGCACAATCATCTGAGTTTTCTTTGATTTTATCCTAATAGTTCGTGTTCTTATTGCTTTTAATTTTATATCTAAGGGGAAGTGGAATAAGAATCTTTCCTCTGTAAGCCATGCGTGTTGTTAAAGTCAACTAAAATACCGGGAACAATGGGCTAGTAATCCCTTTCCTCTATAGCTTTCTAAAAAGAAAAAGAAGAAAGCCGTCAAAGTGGGATATTTGAATGTGCGTGGATGTTGTGTGAATGATAAGAAAAAGATAATTGCGGATGTTATGAATGAGAAGGAGCTGGATGTCCTGGCTTTAAGTGAAACAAAGCTGAAGGGGGTGGGAGTGTTTCAGTAGGGAGAAATAAATGGGATTAGGTCAGGGGTTTCAAATAGAGCTAAAGAAAGAGTAGCAATAATATTGAAGGATAAGTTATGGCAGGAAAAGAGGGAATATAAATGTATAAATTCAAGGATTTTGTGGAGTAAAATAAGGGTTGGATGTGAAAAGTGGATTATAGTAAACATTTATGCACCTGGAGAAGAGAGAAGTGTAGAGGAGAGAGACAGATTTTGGGAAACGTTGAGTGAGTGCATGGGGAGTTTTGAACCAAGTGTGAGAGTACTTGTGGTTGGGGATTTCAATGCTAAAGTGGGTAAAAATGTTGTGGAGGGAGTAGTAGGTAAATTTGGGGTGCCAGGGGTAAATGAAAATGGGGAGCCTTTAATTGAGCTGTGTGTAGAAAGAGGTTTGGTAATAAGTAATGCATATTTTATGAAAGAGGATAAATAAGTATACAAGGTATGATATAACACATAATGAAAGTAGTTTGTTAGATTATGTATTGGTGGATAAAAAGTTGATGAGTAGGCTTCAGGATGTACATATTTATAGAGGGGCAACTGATATATTGGATCATTATTTAGTTGTAGCTACAGTTAGAGTAAGAGGTAGATGGGACAAAAGGAAAATGGCAACTAGTAAGAGAGAGGTGAAAGTGTATAAAGTAAGGGAGGAGGAACTTCGGGTGAGATATAAGCAACTATTGGCAGAAAGGTGGGCTAGCGCAAGTATGAGAAACCATACCACAGGTGGAGTTTGAACCCCCTGTCAAAGTCTCTCAAACTCCAGATTGCCACGTTAGCCACTGGGCCAGCTAGCTTTAGCTAGCTGGCCCAGTGGCTAACATGATGGTCTGGAGTTTTGAGACTCTGACAGTGGGTTCAAACCCCACCCATGGTATGGTTTGTTTGCAATTGTGTCATTACGATTTTGTGAGTCATGGTTGAGGCAAGTATGAGTAGTGGGGGGGTTGAAGAGGGTTGGAATAGTTTCAAAAATGTGATATTAGAATGTGGGGCAGAAGTTTGTAGCTATAGGAGGGTGGATGCAGGAGGAAAGAGGAGTGATTAGTGAAATGATGAAGTAAAGGGTGTTATAAAGGAGAAAAAGATAGCATATGAGAGCCTTTTACAAAGAAGTGTTATAAGATGAGCAGAGTATATGGAGAGTAAAAGAAAGGTGAAGAGAGCAATGAGAGAGTGCAAAAGGGGAGCAGATGATAGAATGTGAGAGGCATCGTCAAGAAATTTTGATGAAAATAAGGAAACATTTTGGAGTGAGATAAACAAGCTAAAAAAGCCTAGGGAACGAACGGATTTGTCAGTTAAGAACAGAGTAGGGGAGTTAGTAGATGGGCAGCTGGAGGTATTGGGTAGATTGCGGGATTATTTTGAGGAACTTTTAAATGTCGATGAAGTGAGGGAGGCGGTAATTTCATGCACTGGTCAGGGAGGTATAATAGCTTTCAGGAGTGAAAAAGAGCAGGATGCGAGTGTGGGGGAGGTGTGTGAGGGATTACGTAGAATGAAAGGGGGTAAAGCAGCTGGAACTGATGGGATCATGATAGAAATGTTAAAAGCAGGGGGGAATATAGTGTTGGAGTGGTTGGTGTTTTTCTTTAATAAATGTGTGAAAGAGGGGAAGGTACCTAGGGATTGGGGACAATAGAGATCGTAAAAATTATAGGGGAATAAGTTTACTGAGTATACCAGGGAAAGTGTACAGTAGGGTTATTATTGAAAGAATTAGAGGTAAGACAGAGTAGGATTTTAGATGAGGCTTTAGAGTGGGTAGGTGATGTGCAGATAGTGTTTATGTTGAAGTATATATGTGAACAGTATCTAGATAAAGGTAGGGAAGTTTTCATTGCATTTATGGATTTAGAAAAGGCATATGATAGTGGATAGGGGAGCAATGTGGCAGATGTGCAAGTATATGGAATAGGTAGTAAGTTACTAAATGCTGTAAAGAGTTTTTATGAGGATAGTGAGGCTCAGGGTGTGTAGAAGAGAGGGAGATTACTTCCCGGTAAAAGTAGGTCTTAGACAGGGATGTGTAATGTCACCGTGGTTGTTTAATATATTTATAGATGGGGTTGTAAAAGAAGTGAATGCTAAGGTGTTGGGGAGAGGCGTGGGATTAAATTATGGGGAATCAAATACAAAATGGGAGTTGACACAGTTACTTTTTGCTGATGATACTGTGCTTATGGGAGATTCTAAAGAAAAGTTGCAAAGGTTAGTGGACAAGTTTGGGAGGGTGTGTAAAGGTAGAAAGTTGAAAGTGAACATAGATAAGAGTAAGGTGATGAGGGTATCAAATGATTTAGATAAGAAAAATTGGATATCACATTGGAGAGAGAGGTAGTATGGAAGAAGTGAATGTTTTCAGATATTTGGGAGTTGATGTAAGTATAGTGGTACCAATTCTCTTATATGGGTGTGATGCTTGGGTTGTAAATACTGCAGCGAGGAGGCAGTTGGAGGCAGTGGAGATGTCCTCTCTAAGGGCGGTGTGTGGTGTAAATATTATGCAGAAAATTCGGAGTGTGGAAATTAAGAGAAGGTGTGGAGTTATTAAAAGTATTAGTCAGAGGGCTGAAGAGGGGTTGTTGAGGTGGTTTGGTCATTTAGAGAGAATGGTTCAAAGTAGAATGGCTTGGAGAGTGTATAAATCTGTAGGGAAAAGGAGGCTGGGTAGGGGTCGTCCTCGAAAAGGTTGGAGGGAAGGGGTAAAGGAGGATTTGTGAGCGAGGGGCTTGGACTTCCAGCAAGCATGCGTGAGCGCATTAGATAGGAGTGAATGGAGACGAATAGCTTTTTTGACCTGATGAGCTGTTGGAGTGTGAGCAGGGTAATATTTAGTGAAGGGATTCAGGGAAGCCGGTTATTGTTATATAGCCGGACATGAGTCCTGGAAGTGGGAAGTACAATGACTGCACTTTCAAGGAGGGATTTGGGATATTGGCAGTTTGAAGGGGTATTGTTATATATGCTTTTAAGCTATTGTATCTGGGTGCCTCTGCAAAAACAGTGATTATGTATGAGTGAGGTGAAAGTGTTGAATGATGATGAACGTATTTTCTTTTTGTGGATTTTCTTTCTTTGTGTGTCACCCTGCCTTGGTGGGAGATGGCCGACTTGTTGAAAAAAAAAATACAATGTATGTTTAGTTTTGTATTGATAGTCGACTTTAAAATGCAGATGATGTTGTCTATAAAATATGAATGCTTAGTTATTGTTGCTCAAAGAAATATAGAAAGATTACAGGAAATGAGTTCAACATTTTTTTTTTTAATTTGTTGTTACATTTTTGTCTTAAAATGACAAGCAAACCCTCTATAACATACTAGTTGGAAGAGGAAGCGAGTGGTCAGTAATGGCAGTTGTGGTGGATAAAGGAAATATTGTCTTGCCCTGATTATAACAATAATGAACAATTCTATGACCAAAGGATTTTGTCCATTTCCAAATCTATTGATGCAGTAGATTTTGTTCACTATTTCCGAAGTTTACTAAATGGAGGTCTGTTAAACTGAGAATTTACTTTGGTTTAATTTATATAGGGGTATGAAAATATGGTTTGCATGGATAATTGTTAGACTAATGTACTGTATAAAGATGCTTTATTATTTTCTTGCATTATAGTAATCCAAGTTGTATATATTTTCAGATAAAAAATTCATGGCATAAATTGGCATGGCCCTGTGAAGTAGGAGACAGAGCAGCAAAACGACTCCTCCAGGATCTTTGTGGGTTGGGAGCTCACTACACAAAGCTAGTGATTGCTAAATTAGACTCAAAACTTTGTGAAGAAAACATGATAAACTCTGTGTTCCTTCCTGCAGAGGTAACTAAAACATTATTCCTTTATATCAATAGTTTACCAAATTCATCCCAGCAAATGAAATCAAAGCTATCTGCAGATGACATAACATTTGTCACTTCAAATTCAGATCCTGATGACCTAAACTTGGTAAACAATGAACTAAAAAATATATAAAAAAAAAAAGGTTCACTTGTGACAGCTTGCAAGCTCACACACCCAACATAAAAAAGATGTTATATTTATATGACTAGTTATTTAATATGAGAAAAAATGCAGGACTTCTTGAGTCCTAGAGGTGGGAAGTTCAGTGCCTGCACTTTCAAGGAAGGGTTTGAGATATTTGCTGTTTGGAGTGACATCTGAACTGTTGTATCTGCACACCTCTGCAAAGACAGTGATTGTGTGAATGATGGTGGAAGTGTTTTTCATTTTTTGGATCACCCTGACTCGGTAGGAGATGGCCAACATGCTTAAAAAAATAAATACAGTTCCCAGGAAGAAGCTCATACACCAATTAAAAAAATAATATGTTTGATATAATAAGAAAGAGAACTAGTAGCAACGAAGTCACTGCTTACTGGTACATTAAACATCAAGGAGGTTCCACTCAATATGCTGTCTTCCGTTTGTCAGTAAGAGGCTCCAGAGTCAAAGAATTGGACCTGTTTTACTGTTCCATGTATTGAAAATGATTGCCTCCTATTCTTCAGGAGCTGTATAACATCTATAGGTTAAGTGCTTACCTATCATAATATAATTATAACATTCATGTTACTAGGTAGTATATTGGTAGACAGCAATTGCTTAGGGAAGTACTACTGTCCTGCCAGGTGAGTGTAAAATGAAAGCCTGTAATTGTTTTACATGATGGTAGGATTGCTGGTGTCTTTTTTGTCACATAAACATGAAAAATTTCAGGTACATCTTGCTGCTACTTCCACTTAGATCATGTTACACATGCATGTACAAGCATATATATACACACCCCTCTGGGTTTTCTTCTATTTTTCTTATTAGTTCTTGTTCTTGTTTATTTCTTATCTCCATGGGGAATTGGAACAGAATTCTTCCTCCATGAGCCATGCATGTCATAGGAGGAGACTGGAATGACTGGAGCAAGGGGCTAGTGGCTCCTTCTGTATATATTACTAAAGTTAAAAGAGAAACTTTTGTTTTTCTTTTTGGGTCACCCTGCTTTGGTGGGATATGGCCAGTTGGTTGAAAGAAGAAGAAAAAGAATAATAGTCTGGTTGTTTTAGTTGGTTGGTGGTGGTTTGAGATCTGAGGAAGGGTTGTGAAGGTGGTTTTGGGCATGTAGAGAGGATGGAAACAGATACCTGGGGAGGGTTTCAGGGGTCAACGCCCCTGAAGCCCGGTCTGTGACCAGGCCTCATGGTGTATCAGGGTCTGATCAGCCAAGCTGTTACTGGTGGCTGCACACAAACCGACGTACAAACTACAGCTTGGCTGGTCAGGTACTGGCTTTAGGTGCCTGTCCGGCACCTTCTTGAAGACAGCCAGGGGTCTATTGGTAATATCCATTATGTATGCTGGGAGGCAGCTGAACAGTCTTGGGCCCCTATTGCTTAACCCTTAAACTGTCCAAACGTAGATCTGTGTTCACGTGTGTAGCACTCCAAACGTAGGTCTACTTTTATTTACACCCTTATGTAAAAAACAAAAAAAAGTAGGAGTGCTATGCACATGAACGTAGATCTATATTTGGATAGTTTAAGGGTTAATATGTTGACTCCTAGTGTATTCATGGCACCCCTGTTTTTTCACTGGGGGGGGGGAATGTTGCATCTCCTGCAATCTCTCTTGCTTTCATAGAGAGTGATTTTCATGTGCAAATTTGGTACTAATTCCTCTAGGATTTTCCAAGTGTATATTATCATGTATCTTTCTCACAGCAATATTCCAGCCTAGAGAGAACAAGCAATCTGAAGAGAATCATGGGCTTAGCATCTCTAGTTTTGAAGGGTCTCATTATCCAACCTATCATTTTTCTAGCAGATGTGGTAGATTCATTATTGTGGTCTTTGAAAGTGAGATCCTCTGACATTATCACTCCCAGGTCCTTCACAATAGTTTTTTGCTCTATTTATGGTTGGAATTTGTTTTATACTGATAGTTTTAATTCTCTCAAGTTTTCCATATCAGAGTAATTGAAATTTCTCTTCATTGAACTTATATTGTTTTCAGCAGCCCATTTAAAGATTAGGATGATAAAGATATATAAATTTTAACTGACATGAAGGGTAGGAGGGGTTGGGGTCATCACAGGAATGATTGGAGGTAGGGGTGAAGGAGGCTTTTAGGAAATTATAGGACTTGAACATCTAGCAGGCTTATGTAAGAATGTTAGTGAATGGAGACAAGGAGTTTTTAGTGAACATTCTGTTTGTGAGCAAAGTAACTTTTATGAAAGATTCAGGAAAACTAGTTAGTCAGATTTGAGGATTGAAAGTGGGAAGGGTACTGCCTGCACTATGAAGCTGGGGTGGGGATGTTGAAGCTGGGGATGTGGTAAACCGATTGTGATGTTGATAAATTAGACACATCTGCAACTCTTGGGTATCTTTATTGAGGAAACGTTTCGCCACACAGTGGCTTCGTCAGTCCATACAAAGGAGAATCGTGAAGCCACTGTGTGGCGAAACGTTTCCTCAATAAAGATACCCAAGAGTTGCACATGTCTAATTTATCAACATGTCAGTTCTCTGAACCATTCATCTATGATTGTGATGTCATTACAGTTCTGGCAAGAGTGTGATTTGAGTGAATAATGGTGAATGTTTAATTTATTTTGGGGTCACCCTTCCTTGGTGAGAGATTGCCATCGAGGTAAAAAAGAAGAAATATATAAAAGTTGATTCTTGAACACACGTTTCTGATGTAAAACTATATTTTCTTTTAATATTTCAGATTTGCATTGGATTGAACAACATTGAGTACATGCGGCAAGAAGTAGAGGGTCTTAAAGAACTGTTTGACCTTTTAGAGGGAGATGATAGAGAACAGATCTGTATTATTTCAAACACTATATCTCAGATGGAAGGTGCAGTGCTTCTCTTCATGGACAATGTCCTAAAAAAAGTAAGTACAGCCTCTCCTCACTTAGTGACATACTCCTTTACCAATGACTCAGACTTACGATGGGCTCTCTGACCAGTATGTATACCTAAATAATGTATATTAAAGCTGATTTCCTCTTATTTTTTTAATACAATATACAATATATTCTTTTTCTTTTTCTGTCTCATAAACTAGCTAGATAACAGGGATATCTTGCTACTCCTACTTGCACTTTGGTCACACTTCACAGACACGCACATGCATATATATATACATACATCTAGGTTTTTCTCCTTTTTCTAAATAGCTCTTGTTCCTCTTTATTTCTTCTATTGTCCATGGGGAAGTGGAAAAGAATCTTACCTCCGTAAGCCATGCGTGTCGTATGAGGCGACTAAAATGCCGGGAGCAATGGGCTAGTAACCCCTTCTCCTGTAGACACTTACTAAAAAAGAGAAGAAGAAAAACTTTATAAAACTGGGATGCTTGAATGTGCATGGATGTAGTGCGGATGACAAGAAACAGATGATTGCTGATGTTATGAATGAAAAGAAGTTGGATGTCCTGGCCCTAAGCGAAACAAAGCTGAAGGGGGTAGGGGAGTTTCGGTGGGGGGAAATAAATGGGATTAAATCTGGAGTATCTGAGAGAGTTAGAGCAAAGGAAGGGGTAGCAGTAATGTTGAAGGATCAGTTATGGAAGGAGAAAAGAGAATATGAATGTGTAAATTCAAGAATTATGTGGATTAAAGTAAAGGTTGGATGCGAAAAGTGGGTCATAATAAACGTGTATTCACCTGGAGAAGAGAGGAATGTAGAGGAGAGAGAGAGATTTTGGGAGAGAGGAATGTAGAGGAGAGAGAGAGATTTTGGGAGATGTTAAGTGAATGTATAGGAGCCTTTGAACCAAGTGAGAGAGTAATTGTGGTAGGGGACCTGAATGCTGAAGTAGGAGAAACTTTCAGAGAGGGTGTGGTAGGTAAGTTTGGGGTGCCAGGTGTAAATGATAATGGGAGCCCTTTGATTTAACTTTGTATAGAAAGGGGTTTAGTTATAGGTAATACATATTTTAAGAAAAAGAGGATAAATAAGTATACAAGATATGATGTAGGGCGAAATGACAGTAGTTTGTTGGATTATGTATTGGTAGATAAGACTGTTGAGTAGACTTCAGGATGTACATGTTTATAGAGGGGCCACAGATAATTCAGATCACTTTCTAGTTGTAGCTACACTGAGAGTAAAAGGTAGATGGGATACAAGGAGAATAGAAGCATCAGGGAAGAGAGAGGTGAAGGTTTAGAAAAGCTGTCATTTCTGTAACAGATTAGATAAGTGCCCTTAATACATATATACGTGTGGTGCATATAGTGTACCTTACTATTATATTGTGCATTATTATTATTTTTATTATTTTTTTCATCACAAGCTAATGCTAACTACCTCCAATACTTTTTTACTTCTTTCTTACTGCTATTAATTGCTCATAATTTTATGTTACAAGTCAAATCTTACTCCAAATTAATATTATTCATTGTTCTTACCTGTCCATTTAATTTTGTTTACCACTACTTGTTTTTTTAGTCACTTTTTATTGTGTGTGCAATTAGTGTATATTCCAATTACTTTTTTGCAAGTACCAAAACTATCTTTTGCTAGCTAGTACCAACTACCTCATTTTTTTTTTTACTTTTTATTGTGCAATAAACTGCTCAACTTATTTAATATTACAAATCAGATCTTACTCCTAAACCAATATTATTTCATAGTGACTATCTGTCCATTTAACTTGTTTACCATTACTTAATTGTATTCCCTTATATATATTTTTTTTTCCTTTATTTTAGCTTTATATAACTACCTTAGCTCATATATTCACAATTGTTAAAATAATCAAGGTGCTATTCTTAGGTGCTAAAGTTAACCCTTTGACTGTCGAAGGGCCCAATCCTGAAGTGTCTCCTGGTGTCGCAAAATATTCGAAAAAAAAAAATTATTTTTTCTTATGAAAATGTTAAGATTATTTTTCTGATTGTTTTAGTCCCAAAAAAAAAATTTTCCCATCAGTACTTACCGAGATATAGAGGCATGAAGTTTGCAGAAAATGAGCCGCGTATGGCAACAGCGGCGACTGCCGCTCACCCGGTAAACTTTAGTTTACTTGTATTTGAAGGTTTGTTGTTTTTTTCACTATTTTATTTTTTCACATAACTTATGTGGCCTGTGAGACCAAAGTAAGGTGCAATGTACATATATACACTCCTTGTATACAACACAATAAGCACACAAACATAATTATCAATATATTGTTTACAAACTTGTTTACAAAAACAAACAATACAAAAAATTGTTTATTACTATTGTTCTATAATATATATACCAATATACAGTCACTGAACATACTCCTAGAAGTTCTGCAGCTTGTGGAACTCTGTGAAACATGGTGTCATACACAGTGGTGTTTTACACTCTTACACATAAAACATGGTGTCATACACAGTGGTGTTTTACACTCTTACACATAAAACATGGTGTCATACACAGTGGTGTTTTACACTCTCACACATAAAACATGGTGTCATACACAGTGGTGTTTTACACTCTCACACATAAAACATGGTGTCATACACAATGGGGTTTTACACTCTCACACATAAAATCAGTGTGTGTGCATTTTTGTTGAATTTTTTTTTTTATGTGCAAAGACAAAACACCTCGTCTGAGCAGCTTTCTTCAAAGTATTAGCAGGCAGTTGTGTTATGTAGTTATCCTAGGTAAATGGTCGTGTGTCATCATTCCTTCCTAATTTCCTTCATTCCTTTCCTACCTGGAGGCTACCTGGAGGGCATTCCACCTCTCTACCTACATTCCTTCATCTGTCCTTCATTACTTTTTTCCTTCCTTTCATCTAGTCCTTCCTTCATTCCTGCCTTCCCTTCTTGCTTCTGGTTTCTATAATATATATACACATATATAGTCACTAGATACTTTCATAAAACTCCTATTATCACCCTTCAGCAAGCTTGTCTTGTGTGCGAGTGTGTGGCTTATAATTGTTTTGAGTCAGGAGTCGGCAGCTGTCAAAGTGACATATTGTCTCATTAGTCACTCCCCCTACCGCCTGTCAAAACAATGGGGTCGGATGCTGCTTCCCCCTCCATTCTATCTATTTCCTTCCCCTCATCTAGTCTTCCTTCATCTGTCTCTCTTCTCTTCTCTGTCTCACAGGTAATAAATACAATATACATAGTCTAAAACCCTAGGATCAACCCTCAAACGAAAGTGCCCTCTGCTTGTGTCGAGTGTGTGCCTCTTGCTCTCTTGAGCAGGATCAGCAGGTCAACATGACTCTGTCCTGTCCTCCCCCCCCCTACCGCCGAAAACAATGGGACGTTCGAGCGACCTCCCCCCCTCCACCCCTCCTCTCCCCCTTCCCCCCTCACTCCCTCTCCTCCCCCCCTCCCTCCCCCCTCCTCCTCCTCCCCCTCCCCTCCCCCCGCCCCACCCCCCCCCCCTCCCCTGCCCCCCCCCAAATCCCCCACCCCCCTACCGCTCCCTCAGACGTCACCCTGACCACCCGCCCTCTCTGCAGACGAGACCCCCCCCACAGCCGGGCCGACACACGCACCCCCCCCCAATTCATCCCCCTCCCCCCCCCTCCCCTCCCCCCCTCCTCCCCCTCCTCCTCCTCCTCCTCCTCTCCTCCTCCTCCTCCTCTCCTCCTCCTCCTCCTCCCTCCTCCCCTCCTCCTCCTCCCTCCTCCTCCTCCTCCTCCTCCTCCCCCTCCCTCCCTCCTCCTCCCCTCCTCCCCTCCTCCTCCCTCCTCCTCCCTCCTTCTTCTCCCCTCCTCCTCCCCTCCTCCCTCCCCTCCTCCCCCCCTCCTCCCTCCTCCTCTCCTCTCCTTCTTCTCCTCCTCCTCCGGCTCTTGACAGAGGACAGCTGCCCCCCTCCCTCCACCCTCGTTTACGCTCATCAAAGGTCAGCTCTTATCAGATGTTATCTCCCCTTATCTTGTCACTGTCATGGGGTGAACTGTTTTCATGCCTCAAGGGAACATATTATTACATATTATTATTATTAGGTATTAGGTATTATTATTATTCTTATTCTTCTTATTCTTATTCTTCTTCTTCTTCCTCCTCCTTCCACCTTCCACCTTCCTCCTCCTCCCTCCCTCCTCCCTCCCTTCTTCCTCCTCCTCCCTCCTTCTTCCTCCCTCCCTCCTTCCTCCTCCTCCCTCCCACCTCCTCCTCCTTCTTTCTCCTCCCTCCTTCCTCCTCCCTCCTTCTTCCTCCTCCCTCCTTCTCCTCCTCCCTCCTTCCCCTCCTCCCTCCTTCCTTCCTCTTCCTCCTTCCTTCCTCCTCCTCCTTCCTTCCTCCTCCTCTTCTTCCTCCTCCTCTTCCTCCTCCTCCTCCTCCTCCTCCTCCTCCTCCTCCTCCTCCTCCTCCTCCTCCTCCACCTCCTCCATTGCTTTTGGTCTCAAACTCCTGGAAATCATGAAATTGATCTTCATTGACACTTCCATCTGTGTTAGAGCATCACTTGGGAAGAGAAGAGTCCCAGATTTGCAGGGAAGTCACATATTTCTTACCGCTAGACATGCTGAAAAAGGACGACTGAAATGGTATTCCCACAATGCACCACTGGCTCCCCGATTTTTTTTATATGGTGCACACTGACCATGGAGACCCATTCTCTCACATGTGGGCCTACCAGCTTTCTCCTGCTTGATTTGAAGCCGCTAGAATTTATGCGTATAGATACGTCAAACACGGTATCTCCTATGACGTACATATACGACCGCGACAGTCAAAGGGTTAATAAGTTCACTATTTTGCCATTATACTCCAAAGCTCATTTATTTGATTACCACTTTATTGTTCACCACAACTTATATTATAATTTTATATTATAATTCTAACTTTAAAGAATTACCTTTAAAGTACTACCTACTATCATATTCCCAAGCTCCATTATTTGATCATCACTTTATTTGTTCACCACAAATTATTTTAGTCCCTT